CTATGTCTGTTTTTCATTCATCACTCTGTCTCCAGTGCCTTGCACATAGTAGAGGCTCAATAAATATTGCCTGAATGGATGCATCAACCATAATAACAACTGTATCTTGTGACCTGCTATCAGGCAAGGGCATTGCTTCCATTTTTTATGAAGGTGAAATTCATACAACATAAAATTAACCATTCTAAAGTGAACAACTCAGTGGCATTTAGTACATTTACATACTGTGCAACTATCAACCCTATTTAGTTCCATTACATTTTCATCACTCCACAAGGAAACACCATACTACTCATCAAACGGCTATACCTCATTCTCTCTTCCTGACAATAGCCAATCTACTTTCTTCTTTTATGAATTTATTTATTCTGAATTAAAATTATTATTGCTATTAATAATTATTATTGTTTTTTATAGCAATTATTAGCTAGATAGCTAAGAAGCTCCTATGCACCCGGCAGTGTGAGGCATTTCCCAAGCATTCTTTAAGGACCTCTCCATCTCAGGCATTCTGCTGTCTCCTGGCACAGAGAATCAACTACAAAGAATGTGATGTCCCCAGTGCTGAGCCCAAGTGGTAGGGCATAGCCTTTAGTTGGAGGAGGGGGGAGCCTCTCCTTTCTCCACTACTGACATTCTTCACACCTTTACTCCTCTCGCTGCCACCAAGAGCAGAGCTGCGGCCATCCTTCTACAGCTCTCAGATACAAGAGCAAGGGCCAGTACTGGAGACGGAGAGTGGGAACCAGTGATCCACCAGACCTAGGAGACGAAGCCAGAGGAGATGCAGGACAGGTAGAGACGTCAGATCAAACATATACACCCAGAAGCCCAGAGAGGAAAAATCATCCCTCTTGGCCCCTTCCCTGGTGTCATCCCCCTTCCTTGCCTAATTCTCTCCTGGAACAGCAGATAGGAACAAAAGACAGAGAGGGACCAAGGTCAGGTTCAGGAGGCAATGCAGGAAGACAAAGAGGATTCAAGGTACTGGGGAGGCAACAGTGTGGGCTGGAGATTGAGGAGTGGTGGAGGAGAAGAGGAGGCCCACGAGTGGGAGAGGAGGCTAGCCCAGAGCACGGGGCAGTGGCACACACTGGGCAAGGCTACCAAGGTGGGAACGTGGGACCTCCTGGCCTGAGTCACCTTCCCAGGACCATCTGTCATCACCCCATAGTAGCAACTTGCTAAAAGATGTTCCCAGCATCCCTCCCCCCAGGGCAATAAATTGCCATGACAAATTCCTTCTACCCCTCACAACTAAGCAAAAGTTCAAATAGGTTGCCTCACTCGGGAAAGAGAGATTCCAGCTAGTTTCTGCCTCTGAAAGAGAGGTAGCCAGGGCCTTCTTGGTCTGTGGCAGAACTGGGGTCAAGGCCTCTCCATGTGTCATGGGATATGAGCTCATCCTCATTATACTGGGCGGGGGCTAGACAGTTACCCAAACTCGTCATGTGGACCCTGGAGCCCATGAGGTCATTCACACAGGTGCTGAGAGACTCTGCCCTATGCACATGCATGCCTGTACCCCAAATGGGGCAACCTGAGGGGACAGTATGGGGCCTCTGAGCCCTAGAAGGGTTTCTCCAGCCCCTCTCCTGTACACACACATGCATACTCCCTCAGCTTTATCCTCTGCCCTCCTCTCCACACCCTAGTTTTGCTCAGCGGTCAAAGGCTCACATACTCGTCTTCTCCTCAAAGCTCTCATTATGCTGTGAATCAGAGGGCGGGAGGCAGATCTGGCAGATATCGAGCCCCTGGAAACCCATAAGACCGGTGTGACTTCCCTGAGCTGAGTCTGCTGCCCTGGGACTGACTGCCACGGGCTGGGGTGAGGCAGATTCCCCCCATGTGAGATCAGCAGCAGAGCACAAGGGCACCGGTGCCCATGGGAGGATGCCTGGTGAGTTCTCCAAGGCAGAGTCAGGGGTGCTTTCTCTGACCTAGAAAATGGCACAGTCCCTGTTCTATGGGGGAGGCAGTGTGAGGTCCCTGGGTGGGCTCAGGGAACAAAGTGGGGGCAAGGAGAGGGTAAAACCAGAGGCCACCTATGGGGCTTCCCTCTGTCTTTTCAGACTGAGCACCAGGAACATGGCAAAATTAGCACTGTAACTAGATCTGCTTGCCTGTAAGGAAAACTGTGGAGAATCAGGACACTTCTCAAAATTAGCCCCAGCGAATATTGTCTTCATATTATTCTAATATTTCTTTTTTGATTACATTGTAAAGAAGTGAGTTTAAATACAGATGTCCATAAAATAAGCTATTAACCCGCCATAAAAAAGAAAGAAAAGTCACAATTCAGTTTTGTTTTTACACAAACATGCATCAACACTAAAATGTTCAGCAGTAGTCATCTCCAGGTGATGAGATTCAAAGCTCATTCATTTCTTCAACTAATATTTGCAGAGCACCTATTATATGCTGTGGCTTCCATAGGTTCTAGGGGCATAGTGGAAAACACACCAGGTACACCCTGCTCTGATAGGCCTTATGTTCCAGTAGGAGAGATAGACAATAAACAAGTGAACACATTCAAATAAAATAACACTACATTGTTATCGGTGAAATGAAACAGACCGGAGGATCATCCTTTAGATAGGATAGGCAGAGAAGGAGCTATCATTTATGTCATTTATGCCAAAGCTGAAAGGCACAAGAGCCAGGGAAGAGGAGGAACCCGTTAGCAGAGGAAGAGCAGGTGCCCAGCCCCAAGGTGGGGATCTCTGGCTCTGTCCCAGAACTGAGCATCCGCACCGAGGCAGGAGTACACCTGCCAGGGAGGGAGCAGCATGAGCTGAGGCTCCAGGGGAAGGCAGGAGCCAGATACCCCAGGGCCTTTTAAACTGTGGCAGTGATTTTGGATTTTATTCCAAGTGCACTGGGTCACCATTGGTGAGGGACACACTCAAATCCCCGCTCTGAAAGATTTTTTGAGCTAATTATAGAGATTGGTTTTAAAAAGGCAGTGGGCAATTTGGTTCTGGACTTTATGCCTTTATGCATTCTAAAAAATAGTTACAGAAAGTGTTTTATCACCATGAAAAGCAATACTTATCTCATGTATTGTATATATTTGGTCCTGCTTCTGTGCCTAGAGTGGGCCATGCTTTGGAGTTTTTATGAACATGGTATTCTTGGGGACTTCTGTAACTATAGCCTTGGGCATGGGGAGTGGGCAGTCCTTTGCACACAGCAGGAGACACCTAGAAGACTTCTAGATGACTGTATTTGGCCTAAAGTCAGACCCTCCTCAAGACAGAATTTATTTCCACACAGAATGAAATTATAGATATGTTCTAAGAGAGGATGAGCTCATGGCCCAAGAAAATGCCCCATATTTTCATCCCTTCATGAGAAGTGACTCTTTCCATATTCTGGGCATCCCAGAAAGATGCATAACTTTCCATTCCATGCCCTTGGAAATGAATCCCTCTTCCTAATAATGAGAATAAACCCATTTTAAAGGTAGAGAAATTGAGATTCAGAGAGAAGGATGCCTCCCTCACCTTCGTCACCTCCCCTGTGCCCAAGTCAGATGAGCATCACAGAAGGAGCTGAGCCCCCACAACTCTCTGGACAGGCAGAAGCTATATGTCCCTGGGAAAAGGGACCCTGAGGGGTTTGCTGCTTGAGATGCCTGTGGTGAGTCAGGAAGGGGCTGGAGGAAGTTGACCAACTGGAGTGGTGAAACTGGTTCTGGAAGGAGGCTAGGCTGGGGCACAGTATAAAGGGTGTCCTGGCCCCTGCTCCAATCAGCACTCCACTGAAGCCTCTGCCTCGCCCTACCAGGAGTCTGGTAAGTGTCAGTCGGCAGAGCCAGGGCTGGGACTGGGACCTTCAACAGCCCTGTTCTCATGGCAGGGGGTGGCCAGCCTAGGTGGGTGTGGGTATCGTTCTGGGGCTGGTCTGACTACCTTTCCTTCTGGGGGGCTCACGTCACTGTCTGGAGGGGAATGTGCTCTGCTATAGAAATGCAGAATGGAGAGTAATTATCCGTGTCCCATCTTTTCTTGGGATGATGTTTTGAGATTCGTGTGTGTGAGAGAGAAGTAAGGCAGGGAGGCAGGGTGGGTAGCAGCCAATTTCTTTCCCAAAACTGTTGAATTTGGGCTGACCACTATCGTGCCTTCTTTATGAGGGCAGGAGTTCAGGGAAAGGCTTGTAACTGTTGTCTGTGCTGCACAAAGAGGGAACTGCAGAATGGGGGTCTATTTGGAGAAATCCAGGCAGAGCAGGGGCAGAAAAACCCCGACTTAGAAGTATAAGACTTGCAAGAACTAACTCCAACTCTCAGCAACCTTCCAGCTCCACCCAGCCCCACCCCAGGCACGGTGACTGCAGCTAAACCTCAGAAGTCAGGAGAGAAAGGAGCTCTGGGTTGCATAGGCCAAGCTGCTAATTTTACAGATGAGAAATCTGGAGCCCAGAGGGGCAAAGTGACTTTCCCAGAAACACGCAGCATTTCAGTGGGAGATTTAGGCCCAGAATGTGTCATATGATTCCAGTGCCATGAGCTCTCAAACTCTCTCTGGCACAGGCTATTGTTTTCCAGGACTCGGGGGACTGCCAGGAGACCTTTCTTTCCCTAGGGCCTTATCATTCACTGGGACATATCCCAGAACTCATTTCTCCTCCTTGGTCAGTGGAAATCAGAGATAAGGACAGACACAAAGACTAGACAGAGCAGAAGGTTAACTGGCACCCAGCCCACCCTTGCAGAATAGCCCTGGAGATAGATCTTGTTGGCTCTTGCCTAGGAACAAGGAAGCTCCCAGAAGGACCTTTCCCTGCCCCTCTCCATTTCCACCCTTCACTCTCTGCTGCTTCTAGGGAATGACAGCCCAGAGTGGGTGGGAGAGTGTCCCCCGAAGGGAAGAGAAGGGGTGCTGAGAAACAAGATACTGCTGCAGATTTCCAGGGTTCATCTATTTCCTTTGCATTCACCATACCCCTCTGATCCCTTCTGTTTTTCAGTTTGACCTACAGCACTTTCTAAGATGTCCCAGCAACACACACTGCCAGTGACCCTGCCCCCGGCCCTTAGTCAGGAGCTCCTCAAGACTGGTTTTCCTCCAGCTGACATCCAGCAAGAGCAAAGGAAGCAGCCAACTCCACTGCCGGCCCCATGCCAGAAGGTGCACTCTGAGTTCCCTGTAGAGGACCCCTCAAAGCATGAGGAGAAACACACAACTCCTGTAAAAGGGGTGCTTGAGCAAGAAGGTGGGCAGCTGCGGCAGGAGCCACAGGAACAGGAACTGCATCTGGGAAAGCAGCAGGAGTTGCAGGAGCAGGAACTGCAGCTGGGAAAACAGCAGGAGCTGCAGGAACAGGAACCACACCTGGAAAAGCAGCAGGAGTTGCAGGAGCAGGAACTGCAGCTGGGAAAGCAGCAGGAGCTGCACGAGCTGCAGGAGCAGGAACTGCACCTGGGAAAGCAGCAAGAGTTGCAGGAGCAGAAACTGCACCTGGAAAAACAGCAACAGCAGCAGGAGTCACAGGAGCAGAAACTGTATCTGGTAAAGCAGCAAGAGCCGCAGGATCAGGAACTGCACCTGGGAAAACGGCAAGAGCCGCAGGATCAGGAACTGCACCCGGGAAAGCAGCAGCAGCAGAAGGAGTCACAGGAGCAGGAACTGCACCTGGGAAAGCAGCCAGAGCCGCAAGATCAGGAACTGCACCTGGGAAAGCAGCAGCAGCCACAGGATCAGGAACTGCACCTGGGAAAGCAGCGGGAGTCACAGGAGCAGGACCTGCAGCTAGTAAAGCAGCAAGAAGAGCCACAGGAGCAGGAACTGCACCTGGGAAAGCAGCAGCAGCAGGAGTCACAGGAGCAGGAACTACAGCAACACCACCAGGAACAGCATGAGGAACATCAGGAAGCAGAAAACCTGGAGCAGCAGCTTGAGCAGGAGAAAGCACAAAGGGAAGAGCAGCTGAAGAAGCAGCTGGAAGAGAAGAAAAGGCTCTTGGACCAGCAACTGGATCAAGAGGTGGCAAAGAGATATGAACAACTGGGAATTAAGAAGGAGCAGCTGCTGGATCCCCTGGGGCAGCAGGAGGAACAGCTGGAGAAGCCCGTGCTTGTCCCAGCTCCTGGCCAGGTTGTAGACATCCAGCCATCCCAGCCTCCAAAGGGAGAAGCCCTGCTCCCTGCAGAGCAGCAGCAGGAGCCAGGGGTCTAGGGGCTGCTCGAACATTAGTACCCACCCAGTGGTTATGGAGAGGCCCTCAGACCACTCCACACAAGGGAAGAGGACACCACTGCCCCACTGACCGCAGGTCCCCTGGTGGCCTGCCTCATCTGTGAACTAGACTTTGTCCCTCTGCGTATCTCTCTTAAGGGGCCGGGGAGGGGGGAGAGGAAGCTATTGTCCAGCGCCCACCCAGTGAGCCCGATCCCAACCTCAGGTGAGCAGAGCCTCTGCCTGAGGGACTGAGGGTACTATAGTAACTCTGACTTTACCCCAGGATTGCGTCCGAATCCGTGACTGTGTACAATGATGCATAATAAATCCTGCAAGTCCTTGCAGCCTGTGTTCTCTTTAGCTTTTTCTCCTCTGTCACATAAAACCCCGTCTATGGGGCAATGGTTGCAGATGACTCTGTTGGCCCATTCTCAAAGGACAGACATCTTGACCCTCCTTTAATTTTGCTCCCCAAACCACTCAATATATTCAACAGCTTCTGAAAAAGAAGCAAAACCCCAAACAAAACAAAACAAAACAAAAACAACTTCACTTGTGGACCTGAAAGCAACACTTGCCAGTCATGAAGAGGGGATAAGTTGCCGGGTTGGGGGAAGAGGATCGACCCATCTCAGTCCCACACCACCTCACACTACTCACAGCCCAGCTCTGGCCCTACACTGCCCATCTTGGCTCAGTTCCTCGCAGGGGGGAGGGTACTGGGAGATGCCGGGGAGGTCTGGAGGCTCCACCTGGTTCTGGTCCCTTCCCTGGAAACATCCCCAGGCTCCGCTCCCTGGGTTTCTCTATAGAATGTCCTCATGATTCCAAGAGTCTTACGGGCGCTGTTAGGCTGAGGAAGACTTCATAAAAGCAATGGAAGCAGAATTGGGCGAGGGGGGAGGGGGCACTCTGGGACTCTTTCGGATGGGACGTGGCGGGGTTGTTAAAGGGAGTAAAGGTTGGGCCAGCAGCACCCGTGGAAGCCAAAAATGCTTATGACACTGGAGAAATACAAACCCAGAGTCATTGCTGCTGTCCCCCTCCTCTTGCATCCTGGCTCCCTTACATTTCCGTAGCCTTTACCACCATAAGTCACATCAGGACCTGGGACCGCTTCCTGGGACAAGCATGGCTTTTAATTTTGTGAATCACTTTACCTTTAACCACATCCTCTTAGGCAGGTTGTCTTGAGCTACTCAAAGCTATTTTACCACAGGCATAAGGATATATCAGGGACATCCCCATGGTGGTGTCCACAGGCACTCAAGCTCAATAGAGCTGAACAGTGGCACCTAGCACTCCTTCCTCCCCACCCAAGCCCAACATTCACCGTGTTTCCTCCTTAGGTGTTCTCTCTCCTAAGGGCCATGATAGCACCGTCTGTGCACTCATGATCATCACTCCTTGTTCCTCCTCCTCTCCCCTACCCCACCAAGGACCAAGTCCTTGCTATTTCCACCAACACCTACCAAGCTCAGCCCGAGCTCATTGCTCACCTGAACTGTCTCAACGGCCTTCAGGCTGGCCTCTCTTGCTCTATATCCACAAACCCAGAATCCACCCATCACACAGAGGACAGGGCGTACTACTTAAAATTCTATCTAACCACATCACTTCTTGGGTTAGCACTTGCCAGTGGTTCTCATGAGTTAGACCATGAGAAAGCAGATTCAAGACCTCCTGGCAATAGGCTTGGGTAGGACTGGAGAGAGGGATTGGGGACAGAGGAAGAAGTCATCAGAAGCACCTAGAGTATGTGAAAATATTCTTAGAAGTCTTAGGTTAATTTGTAATAGACCTTATTTTTTAGAACAGTTTCAGGTTTACATAAAAGTTGAGAAAATACTACAGAGACTTTCCATATACTCCACACCCAGTTTTCCCTGTTATTAACATCTTACGTTCGTATGGTACATTTATTACAATTAGCAAAACAATACTGACACACTATTATAACTAAAGTCCATGGTTTATTTGGATGTCCTGAGTTTTTACCTAATATCCTTTTGCCGTTTCAGTATCCTAACCAGAATACCACAGTACATTTAGTTGTCTTGTCTCCTTAAGCTTCTCTTGACGGTGACAGTATCTCAGACTTTTTTTTTTTCTTTTGATGACCTTGACAGTTTTCAGGGATACTGGTCAGGTACTTTGTAGGGCGAATTTAGGTTAGTCTGGTGTTTTTCTTATGATTATAGATGGGGGGTGTGGGTTTTTAGAAGGACGACCACAGAGGTAAAGTGCCATTATCATTACATCATATAGAGTGTACGTACTGTCAAATGTGACTTTTCCCAGTTGCTATTAATCTGATCACATGGCTGAGATAATGTGTGTCAGTTTTCTCCACTGTAAAGTTACTCTCCTCACCTCCACCCTCCACCCTTCTATACATACATTAGAAATAAGTCACTATGCGAAGCTCACAATTAAACAGTGGAGAGTGGATCTCCCTGTCACTGAGGGTGAAATATCTACATAAATTATTTGGGATTTTCTGCACAGATTTTCTCCCCCTCATTTGTTTATATCAGTATGGATTTAGGTTTAGTTATTTTATACTTTGGGCTAGAATCCAACAGTACTTTATTTTCTTGTTCAAAATCTTCCAGCTTTGGCCATTTGGAGCTCTTTCAGTTGGTTCCTATGTCCTTTGATATATTCCCATCAATGTGGGTTTTTAAAAAATTTTATGTATCTATTTTTGTTCATTTGTTTTGTTTTTTGAGTACTTCCTTACTTTCTGGCACTGTAAGATGCTCTAGGCTCATTTTGTACGTTTCCTACCCCAGTCCTAGAATCAACAATTTCTTCAAGGAGCCCCGGTTCATTTTATTGGAGAATGGTAATAGACACCAAGACCTGGGCACTAGATGTGTTCATTACTATTGGGTATCATTTCTTTTAGGCCCCCTTAACTGGCAAAGAAAATATTAAGCAGAATTTGCACCAATATCATTGATAAACCTCCAGCTAGAATGATCAGGGGAGAAAAGAGAGAACACACAAAATTACCAAATCATGAATGAGGAGGTAATATCACCACAGATAATTCAGATATTAAAATGATAGCAAAGAATATACTTCTTCTGGTGGAGCATAAGCATCTTAGCAGGACATACTGATTACTTGCCAATTTATACTTATAATGTTCTAATACATTCCTCAAGACGACTTGGATCTCTTTCAATTAATGCATTCCGGATCCGAAAACTGGCTCAAGACTGGATATTGGGTAAGACTGAGCTTTGAGGAAGCTGACATCAGCCATATATATGGAACAAATACACACACACACACAAACACACACACACAAGTGTGCACACACACACACAGACGGTCCCCGATTTATGATGGTCCCACTTAATGATTTTTTTAACTTCGTGATGGTGCAAAAGCGACACACATTCAGTAGAAACCATACTTTGAGTGCCCATACAACCATTCTGTTTTTTATTTTCAGTACAGTATTCAATGAATTACATGAAATATTCAACACTTTATTAAAAAATAAGCTTTGCATTAGATGATTTTGCCTAACTGTAAGCTAATGTAAGTGTTCTGAAAATGTTTAAGTTAGGCTAGGCTAAACTATAATGTTTGGTAAGTTAGAAATTAGGTGTATTACATGCATTTTCAACTTAATATATTTTCAACTTAAGATGGGTTTATCAGGACATAACCCCATTTTAAGTTGAGCGACACACACACGTGCACACACACACACACACACACACATGCGTGTATAGCTAATGATGCCTATCTTGTCCCTAAGCGTATCATCTTATATTATCCAGTGCTCTAGATTCTTGTAGGTAGAGATATCTTGGTGACTATTCTGACATTTCAATGTCATTGCCCATCATGGTAGTCACATCTACCTTGCCTCTGCTGGTTAACTATTAATACTAGCACTTATCCTTTGTTACTCCCAAATCCTATCATTCTAACTGATACTATGGAACCCAGTTCAGTTAACAATTCCTACTTCAGCCTCAGGCTATCGAGGACAGCCACTATTGGGCTTCTCAGTGATGAGGGTGCCCCCATCTCCAACACATTTCTTATAACTTTAGTGAAAGTAGTGTTCTCTGGGACCTCCTGAAAAACATACTCAGTTCGTGGGTTTCAGGGTTATATAATATCAATAGATTCATTCTAGCACACCTGCCTCTCAAACATTTTATCCTTTTCTCAATATTTTGCCAAGATGATTCTGGCATCTCCACCTCATTTAATGTGGGCATAACTTTTTCTGAGTTTCAAAAGGTATCCCAGAAGCATATTAAGACAGTTCTGGGGAACTGAGTCATATGTATTGCCCCCATATCAGTAAATATTCTCCTAATCAGTCTCATATTCCACACCCTATAATTTAACACCTCGAGATCCTCTGCTAGATAGTTTCTTCCAGTCTGTGCTGGTACATGTTCCCCAGGCTCTGTAGTTCCTTAAGTGAATATTCCTCCCCTCCCTTAGCAGGACCAGCACTAACCCAGTGAGATCTGCTAAGACTTGAGCCAATAGCCAGGAGAGGAAGTGGGGCCAAATTTGAGTTGGACAAGTGTTGACTTACAAGACACCTGCTTCGGTTGGACTCTTCATAGTCTTCAGCCAGTGAGCATGTGGGGACTGATATCTTCTATCTAGGGAGAGTAGCCCACTTCTACAGACTTAGAAAATTTGGAGGATTTTGGAGTTCAGGCTTATCAAGCACATCATGAATATGTTCTCATCTGAAAAGCATCACGAATATAAAGAAAGAGAGGCAAAAGCATACCAAAATCTAGGTGGTGTTGAACGATACTGTGAGAATGCAGTCAGCAAGACCCAGATGCAAAAAACTCTATGCTACAAGTAATATAGTTTCTTCAATAAAAAATTGCAAGCAGACAAAAGAAATATACAGGGAACCTATGTATTAAACTCAGCTGGGCACAGTGGCTCATACCTGTAATCTCAGCACTTTGGGAGGCTGAGACAGGAGGATTGCT